TTAACATGAATTTACTGAATTTGCTGATCGGACCTAACTCTCGGCCGTGGCACTCGCTACGTGCGAGGCCTTCGGCCCTTGGCCACAACTCGAACAATCTCAACAATCCTTCGACCAACTTGAACTGAATAACTATAATTTAACATAACATGATCTTTTAAATACAAACTGGTCGGAACAATTTGACCATATTGAAAGATGAGGCCATCAAGCCTCCTATGGCCCGCGGGTATGCGCTAGGTGCGCAGCCCGCCCCCTTGAGCCATAACATGAACCTAACGCCAATTTTTACCGACCGATCTTCCACAACTGAACCTTATACTTCAAATAAAAGCTACAGGAACAAGATTGCTCATGACTTGCTGAATAAAATTAAACTTAACTCGGTTACAATGTTACTAAGGCGCCTTCGGGCTTAGGCACAATTTTGATTGAAATTCTCGAATCTATTCTGAACTAGTAACCTTAAATCGACCTTAGCATCATGAATATAATCTGGAGGAAGAGTTACCTCTCGGATTACTCGAATGAAATCAGAAAATAGGCGTGCTTCCTTTGCTTGCGTGCGCCGTGCGATAGGCCAAGATTTGCCGTGCGATTGTGTAGACTTTAAGGGAAAATTCACTTGATCTATAAGGCTACTGAAGGGGGATGTAAAGAGAAGGTATTCTGCTCGGAGTTCTCAAGGGAAAAATGACCAAAATTTTTTCTAAGTGTCCCTTTATATACGAACCGAAGGAGAAGCTTGGTGATGATGGGAGGATGTGGCTAAATCTCCCTTTAACACTTGCTTGAAGCTCATAAGTCTTATGATGACTAAGCATCCTCTAGACTTGACAAATGGCATGACTTGAATGAACAAAATCTCATTTCCTCAAGCTTAAGAAACCCACGGTGTTAAAGTTACAATACTTGGGAAATTTCCTAAAACTCACGGCATTTGTCTTAACATGGTGATTAATTTTAATTAATCACTTATCTTATGTTTAATTATTTAATTAAACATAATACTTAATTACCAAAATTATTTCGAACGTAAACGGTACGTCGAAAATAGATTTCGGTAATTTCGACTGGAAATAATTAATTCCGAAAATAATAAACGATAACATTATTATATCGGAATTAAAACGTAATTATACCGATAAAATATCGGGATATTACAATTTTTCAATCTAGTAAAAGATGTCCCACATTGGTTGTTGAGGAGAACGAAGCATGCCATATAAGTGGCTGTGGACACCTCAACCTACAGGACGCGTCTGGGTCAGTACCAGAACAAAACCCTGGGTTCAGATCAGGGACAATATCCTACCACGCACCGCTGCGCAGTGCGAGTCAGGGTTAAGGGCAAGCCTTAACTAGTAGGACGCGTTTTGGTGAGCTAGCTCCCAAAGGCAAAACCGTGAGGGAATGATCTGGTGTATACCCAAAGCGGACAATATTCTGTAGCGGGTGAGCTGGGTTGTTACATATGGTATCAGAGCCTGTACCCGGACTGGTGTGCCAGCGGGGACGCTGGGCTCTCCAAGGGGGGTGGAATCTAGTAAAAGATGTCCCACATCGGTTGTTGAGGAGAACGAAGCATGCCATATAAGTGGCTGTGGACACCTCAACCTACAGGACGCGTCTGGGTCAGTACCAGAACAAAACTGTAACACCTCGACTTTCTAATACATCAGAGTACGCGGTTTTTCGCAAATTTTCTGAATAAATAAAT